TCATGTAAGGGAGAAAATAATTCTACCTGGGCAGTAGGTGGGGACAGAAAAAGTTATGGAGGGTTAGCATTTTGAGCAGGACCATGAAGACTGACAAAGAATGGCAAGTGTGTCTGGAACACTGAGGCAGGACTGGAGCTGAGGCTGGAAGAGGAGACTTCATTGCAGAGGCTTTCCAAGCCCTATTAGAGCTTATTTCCCACCAGTTCCCAGTGGGAAATCTCTATAGAAGCCAGCCCAGGGCTCTTTGCTGCTCCCCATGTCACCCCCTGTACTTTGCTTTAACACAGTAACCATGGTAATCCAGAAGCCAAAGGGAGGGTGTGGGAAAGAAGGCTGAACTGCATCTCCCAACTGAACAACATGCACCTCTGGCGTACCCTACAACTTTTCCAGGGGGTTTGTGGGCATAAGAGGTTTCTAAAGGAACCAATTTCAAGATCCATTACCTCCAGAGAAGCCCCTTTTTACCAGAAATATGCCTGATATGTGCCCAAAGCAAGCAGATTTCCGGCAAGTTCTCCTTTCTCACTTCCTCTTTCATAATTACCCTTCTCTCACTTTAGGAAAAAAATGCCTATGTCTCTCCATCCAGAATCTTAGCATGCGCCTTGCCTCACCAGGGTGCCAAATAAAGGGGCAATTTTATATAAGAGACATCTTTTTAAAAAGCATTGACATATCTACTTGCATGATATATATTTCCAGTATTGTTTTATTTGTATGCTTAATAATCACTTATCAAAAGCTAATGATTCCCTTGATTAGTTATGTAATGATAGTATTTTAAATAACATAAGCAAGAATTTTCACAATAAAAACCCCTCAATTAAAAAATCAAGTTTTGTGTACTTACTTTTGTTGCAGATGAGTCAGGAGAGCAAATAACTCCAAAATATGAAATATTTAACTGTAAAATGTTCAATTAAGGAATAATCATTTGATAATTTTAAAGGTCAGTGCTAACAGCATGCACGGACTACTTTGTCAAATTTCAATTAGAAGGCACGTGAGCAGAATACCCAGGAAGCAGAAGTATCATTCAGTGATAACAAGGGACCCAAGACCTCTCAGGGCTCCTTTTGTGTGTCACAATGATAAGCAGAGCTTACCCCCACCCACCACCTCCATAAACCTTGCAGCCATCATATTTTCTTATTCTAGAACCATTTTCAGTTTCAATTCCCTCATTTCACAAAGTAATTTGTCACTTTCCTAATCTTGTCTGCATCCTGTCAGCACTTGGAAGAACCATTAGCATTTAGAGGAGAAACGTGTGTATTACAAGCAGACTTCTTTAAAAAATCCATTTTTATATGGTATACATTGAGTCCTCTGCCCCTGGAGTGGGATGAAACACCATGAAACAAGTGCATACAAATACCCTGGCTCTAGATGTTAAATGTGTACAAATAATATTACTGAATTGAACTGAGATCAAAGAGCTTCTTTTTCTCCTCTTTCTGATTCTAGCAATAAACTTTTTTTTTTAAGGGTAATATTCTTTGATATGGGCAAAGTACTAAATAGTATTAAATCACACCAAATGGTGACCAGCATCTATTTCAAGGCCAGGATAGCAACATTTTATTTTTCATTACACTGAGCACCTGAGTTTTCCTAGAAGAGAATACATATGATATCTGAAAAAGAACATTAACATTGGAATCAAGATAAATCTCAGCAGAGTGTCTGTCTTACCTAGCTGTGTCCTAATGCAAGTGAAACACTGCATGCCATTTTTTTTTCTTTGTGAAGTCAGGATAAAAATGCAATAGTTATTTAAATTCAATGGGGACATACAGATGAAGTGCCAGTACGGTTCCTGAAACATAGCAGAGGCTTCCTTTTTGTAACTTTCAAATTCACATTGGGTTCCTACTGGAATGGCACTGCTAATAACAGTAATTCAGGTTCTCTGTCAAGATTTCTTATGTTTACGGAATCAATGCAGTCTGGAAGCAGAGTAAAAAGTAACCCTTATGTCTGCCCACAGCTGTTAACAAATAGTACAATATATACATACACACACATACATATATGCACATATACAGTATGTATACACATATATACATTATACACACATACAGACATATACTTGATAGTATTTAATTAGTGAAATTCACCATCAAATAGGTGTTAGTTAATGCATTCCAGTTCTCACAATTTTTCCGTCAACTCCCCTACGGAATTTTTCCATCCAACCCATTCCTACAGGACAGCAGCAAGTATTTAAGTATTGTTCAGTGTCAATACTTTCATGCAGTTACTGTAATCACTGGGTAAGCAGATCAAAGAGCTAATACTGAGCTAAAGAAGTGGTTTCTTGCCAACCCTTCTACCATAACACCTTCTGAAAAGAGGACATCCCAATTAGTTCACTACATCATCTTTACTTGTGGTATTACGGGAAACTCTTCTCTGAGCTTTCCATGAATCCCAGCCTTCTAGGTGTATGGATAGATGAAGAGCTAGATAGACAGAGACAGATATCCAGATCAACCCACATTGTCAAGCTCTTCCAGCAGAAAGTGATGCAACTTAGACAAATGTTTTCATTCAGGGACTATTAAAAAGTTCTCCAATGAACCAAACACATATAGCTAATCAAATGAATATTGATTATAAAGATAATCTTTAAATACATAATAATGTCAATTGCACAAGTACCATAGAAACATTTCTTTAAAACCAACATTCTGCCATTACGACACTGCCTGTAAATAAATAAAGACTAATTATCACTGTCAAATCGTAGGAAATACTTTTTATGCAAATAGTATCATCCTCCTTAAATAACAGCAATCTTAAACTTGTCTGAGTTGGAATTCCAGCTCTACCACTTTCTAGCTCTGTGACCTTGAGAAAGCTATTTAATTACTCTAATTACTTCAATTTCCTCAGCTGTAAAATATATTCCCTACCACATAAGCTTATTATGATGATTTTTAAAAACATATCCTTAGGACAATGTCTGATACATAATAAGAACTCAACAATGTTAGCTATTATTCATGATGATTTTTAAAAATACATCCTTAGAACAATGTCTGATACATAATAAGAACTCAACAATGTTAGTTATTATTCATACTGTTTCTCATAATTTCAGTTATGGGTATGAAGACAGAACTCTGTATTATCATTAGCTAACCTTCAGAAAAATAGTTAACACAATGAGCAGAACTCAACATTAAACTCCAGGAGAGGTTGGAGGAAAAGGACAGTAGTCAGTATTTTTAAAAGGTTAAAAATTGTTTTGGGTCAGAGACCCATTTAAAAACCTAATCAAAGTTATGGATATTTTCCTGAGAAACATCCACATATACCCAGCATTTCAGGGCTCCTTTTCTAGCTATCCTGAAATCCATCAGAGGCACCAAATCTGAGATGAAGCCTAGGAGATGAAGTACCTTCTAAGCTTTAAAACCTTCTACTTCCAAACTCTATTTCAATAAACTTTAAACCATTGTTTTTCTCCATCCCCCAAAGAAATTTATAAACATATATTTCATTGAAAACACCGTATCTTGCAATATAGCAGTTGGCATTTGCAACACTAATTTCATGGATTAAAACAACAGAGCCTCATTTTAATCACTGGTAGCCTGTAGAAAAATTCCAACCAGAACTATAGCTTCCAGTCATGTTCTGGAGTTGCCATTCCAAATCAGCAGGGGACAGTGAAACTAAAAGTATGGGAACACCCTGCCTATCAGAAGTTCCAGACCAATGGCCAACTGACTCTTCTCTGTTACTGTTGCAAAGCAGGTGATACTTCAGGAGATGCTCTTCTGATTGACTAAAATTCTGTGAGAAAACAGAAACACGGACACGAAACGAAGACAATCAAAACAAACCTTAAGAACTCTGATACGTCTTAACTTTAAGTAAATTAGCTTTTTGTTCACCTTTTAAATCTAAATGGCTTGTGCTGTGTTTTCAGTTCTTCCCTTTATATGTCTTCATGTTCCTTCCTTTGTATCTCCTTCCTCTGTTGACCACATTAGTTTAACACAAAAACAACAGGAGTTTACAATTTAACCTGTATATATATATATATATATATATATATATATATATACACACACATATATATATATACATATATACACATATATACACATATATATACACATATATGTGTATATATATATTTGACAGGCTGGAGTGCAGTCACAAATCATAGCTCACTGTAACTTGGAATTCCCGGTCTCAAGCTATCTTCTCGTCTCAGCCTTCCAAAAGTGTATTGCATCTTGATGCTTTCAATTGAATGGTTCACTTTGCAGCCTCTACATGGCAGGATGCATAATCACCAGTTTATTCCGTAATACTGGAGCAAGAATTCAGTCTAGCTAATATGGCCTCTTTGGCCACACTGACAACATGAGGATGACTACCACTTAGCCACTACCAGTATCATAATATTATAAAGTAGTTTTAAGATATACAGTGGGAATTAGCTGGTGACCACCACTTTACTTCATTTTGAAATTGCTGACTCATCCTATTTAAGAATCTGTTGTAAGCATCATTTAAGAATTAGTTTGATTTATACACACTTTGAAGCCAACATAGTTTTTAATGCGTGGAATTACATAAAATCAAATGAACTACATGTATGCCCTTGCAGCATGCAGTCTTACTAACACTTGAAAAAACTGGCTGGATTTTCATTTAAAGCCACCTTGAAAAATGATTTTATTTCAGTGAAATTCGCTCGCATTTTTTCCAAGTTGCTTTGGCATTCCAGACACCCTACTGGTTCTCTAAGAGATAACTGGCTTGCCCAGAGTTGGAACCAATACAGACCCAGGCCTGACTGTCAAGCAGTGATCATTCCTACAAATTTTTCTTCCAGAAGACGTGTGCAAGCAAAGAAGAGGGCGATAATTCGATTTTGCAAAGGTAGGAATAGACACGCACGCAGACATCTGCACCGGCCGGCCCACAGGGAGTTTGAGAGGGGACAGATAGGAAGTGGGGAGCTGAAGTACCTTTTCTCGGCGTTTCTGAGCTTGACTGGGTGCAGAACTCAGCCCTCAGGGCTGCGGGACCGCGTCTTCTCAGAAACCGGCAGTTTGGCTGGGACAGCCTGACGCGCGTCCCTCACCCTCCCAGCGAAGCGCAGGGTGCCGGGCCTGCCTCGCGCTCGCCAGCAGTCGGGAACTCCGAAAGAGTGCAGCGCAGTGGGGAGCCGCACGCCAGGGGCAAAGGGACCGGCGATCTGCGCTCCTCCGGAAGCAGGAGGGTGGCGAGGAGAGTCTCGGAGAGGAGTAAAGTGTCATTAGGGGAAAAATCAAAAACTGAAGTTGCAGCTAAGTTTTCCCCATGAGAGGGCGGGGCGGCCGGGCCAGTCGGGTAGACCAGAGGGTAGCGCCGGAGCTGGGAGGGGCCCAGGGCGTAGGCTTTCGGGGAAAATTCCATTGTCCTTTTAACCACCACCACTCCCCTCCCAAAGCAGAGAAGCCGAGCTCTGTACCTCCATCGAGTCCTGGCTGCAGGGTGGGGGGACGACAGCCACTGCAGCCGGGCGGGAGCGGACACCCAGTTCCCCGAGGGCGCCGGACTTCGAAGGCAGTGAACGCGTCAGCTGGGATTCCCCCGGGCACCTTCCACCCGGAGTCCCAACCTCCGGCGAAAAGAAAAGTGAAAGAGAAAGAGCCTGGAGCGCAGGCAAAAATAAACACCTCCCGAGGAGATTGGGGGTGGGGCAGGTGGCGGCGGCTTCTGGATGACTGACTGCCCCAGGTGTCGCTGCTCCCCGGCCTGTTTCAGTCCCTGCCAGGCCCTGGGGCGCAGAACGTGCAGGGCGAACGCAGGCACATCGAGGAGCACCGGCCCCGCCTTGCAGGAACACAAGCCTCCGGCCTCCTTTTCTACCTGCTGGGACACCTGCAGAGAAGGCACAGGGACACTGGACCGAGCCCATTGGCGGCATCCCAAGCGCGGGGCACCAGGTGGGAAATTCCTGCAGCAGAGCCTGGAGACCAGGGCTGGGCTGGCGCCTGTTCAGGTCTCCCAGAGGAAAGGGAAAAGGTTCTCCGAGCCGGATGCTGGGCGTCTGCTCTAGACAGGACCCCTGACCCCTGCACAGACTGGAAGAAGGAAGTTTTGAAGTCCTCCCAGAGGAAACGTTGGAAGAAAACACAGGTGGCAGCTTTGTGCGAGACAGGTGGTACAGGGAGTGAACTTACAGCAGTGAGCCTCTCTGCGGATCACTTTTCCGGTCTATTGTGTAGTCCAGTGTAAAATATTACACATGGTCCCATTTGATGGACCCATGAAATGTTCTTGCAGTACTTTTTACATTGGAGGAGGGAACTGAGTTCTTCAAGGCTGAGTGATCTGCATGCCAGAAAACCAGTAGCAAAGGCCTCACGCTCAGTTTTGAAAGTACTTTGGAGAACCTTGCATTCTGTGACTCACTGAAAATCCGTACTGTACGGTGCTTTCCAAACTTTCAGAGTCATGGTTCAGAGAAAAAGATGTCTTTCTGGGGCTAAGTTTTTTATTTATTTATTTATTTTGAGACACAGTCTTGCTCTGTCGCAGGCGCCAGGCTGGAGTGCAGTGGCGCCATCTCGGCTCACTGCAACCTCCGCCTCCCAGGTTCAAGCAATTCTCCTGCCTCAGCCTCCCGAGTAGTGGTGCTCAGTTTTATTTAGTTTAAAATTTAAGTATGTTTTCTTCGTATTACATAAATATGATAAAAATATCAAATAGAAAAATAAATTATTCAATTTATAAGTTCGTAAACTTCCACATATCATTTCATATTTTTATGAAAAATTTGAGTTTGTTTTCATTAACTCAATTTTTTGATATCACTTTTATATTTGAAATAATTACTGATGGACTTCTTGATGAGAATTACCTCAAACTCTAGATAGTCTCCTTCAACAAACGAAGTGAGGTATAAACATGCAAAAACAATTTTTACAACCATTCAACATTTTGCCATAGTTGGAAATTATATTTAAGAATACGAAGCAATCATTCGTTTCTGTTCATTATAATGTTGAATTTTCTTGTGATAGTGTCAGTGGATTTCAAGACCAGTCAGACTTTTCATAGCACTGATTTGAAGCTCTGATTTGCAAAATGAACATGCATTGGAAGAGCAGGACTGCTGCTGGACTGGATTGCATACAAAGATACGGCAGCCACAGAAGCACTGATATGCATATGTGTGAAGACAGAGAATACTGAACAACATGTGGATCATGCGCCCAGCCTCATTTTGGACTACTGCAGAGCTTCTTGGACTCCTGCAATGTAAACTCCTCTAGCGCCTCCTTTGGCTCCTTTATGGACACTGTTCTCTGCAGCTGGTGAAGGAAGCAGGTGTTCAGACAATAAGAAACTTCAGAGGCCACACTTAGCACCACCTAACAGAGCTCAATATCAGATATCACTGCTGCCAGAGGAGAATCATCACAGAGAGATCCTCTCTCTCTTGGGCTGCCCACGAAGTCTATAGAAAGTTGTTCTCAACTGGTGCTCACTGGCCTGTGGGCTTCAGCTTTGTTAGCTGTCCACAGGACTGAGGGACATCAGTATCTGACTGCATACTTTGAATACGGTGAGGCCACCAAGAATGTTCTGAGCTATTAGAGAGTTTTCACAACACAATGAAATTGATGGAAAGTTTATTTGTAGAGTGAATGTTAAAGCATAATCTGAGTATATAACATTAAGAAAATTGGTCTACAACTATTTATTGTGTTTCAAATATAATAGGCTGTAGAATAACATAGACTGAAAAATATATAAAGCATTTTGTCAGACTGGGGAGATAAAAAACATAAATTACAACAAAGTACAATTAAAAATTATTATAGTCATAAGATGTGCTTTGCTCTACTATTTGCCTCCCAAATATGTAGGTCAAATTTGTTTTCATAAATACAGATATTTTAACAGTATATTTAATTAGTTATGAGTGCCTGCAGTCCAGTGAAGTTGGATTTGCAGCATGACTTTTTTTGTTGTTTTTTTTGCATTGCGCTCAAACAGAAAAGTCTAATGTATGCAACTTGTGTTTTCAGTTGCCACAGGCTGTTTGGCAAAATATTGAAAATTACTCATACCAATGAACAAGTAAATTCCCCTGCATAAATTAAAAGCAAAGATGAAGATTGATGAAATAATTTGAAACTGCCTTAAGATAACTAATAAAATTACAATGTAGAAAGAAGTAAAAATTAACTAAACCTCACAGACATTACCATACCAATCTCCTTGAATTCAAATAATTAACAATAAAATTATAGTTTAATAAATTTTTAATACCTATTTTTTTCAAAGACAATGTCAATTGGACAATTGTCTTTAAAACAAATTACTATTGAAAGTTTTCTAGCTTTTGCAATTACATGGAAGAAGTTGCAACTTATTTAATCTGACTTAGTGTTCAAAGTCCATGACTGTTGCCTTACTTATGGTTTTCTTAAGATTTAAACCACCCATCAAGAACAAGTTGATCCCTTGCTCTTAGGAAAACATGGCCTGCCTGAGTCACTTATATTTCCATTCCGGTAAAGTGTGCTGAAATGCAGCATTACTTCAAAGTTGCTTCTCACGTTTTTTTTTTTTTTTTTTTTCTGCTGCTCCTGAAAATAGATGAATACTCTTGGTCTTAAATACTGTTTAGGTTTTCAAGAGCTCCTCAAGTTGCTGCTTTTTCAGAACCACAGCAATATTTGTTAGCACTTCTCTCCTTTCTCCAATCTGCTATTTCTCCAGTGCTATGTTAAACACAAATGTTAACTCATTAAATCCTCACAGCAATGCAATGAGATATAAACTATTATTGTCTCCCTTTTTCTAATGGAAAAGCCAAGGCCCAAAATTTTATGCGATTTGCCCAAGATCATATAGAAACTGACTGATCCAGCAAGGATTTGAACTCAGTCTATCTTCAATACACACCTTACCCTCTGGTGTCTTTAAATTGGCAACCATTCTCCAATGTTTGTAAAACAGAGTTCATAAAGAAAGAAGCCATGGACCCTCAGGCAGTATGTCTTGGTCCAATTTTGTTTGCCTTAGGGTAATTTTAGTCATCACCAAGGAGGAAACTTAGCAGTTTTTTTTTAAATCTCTGCTTTCTCGTCCTATGTTTCTGCAATGAAACTGCAATAGGTATTGTAGCCCTGCTACTAACATAAGTTATTTGAATAAAGTGGCTGACAAAAGTCTGGAAGAACATTGCTGCAGGTTTGAAACAGTGGAACTCGGAGCTGGCAGATTCTAATAGAGTTGAGTGACTTTGAACTGAAATGTCAGAGCATAGTTATGGTAAAGAAGGAGAAAAGATGTCTAATTTCAAGCTGGAGATGAATTAAGAACAATAATAACTTTATTAGTCAGGGTTCTTCAGGGAGACAGAATTAATAAGATATATATTTGTGTGTGTGTGTATATATATATACACACACACACATATATATATATATATATATATATATATATATATATATATATATATATGAAAGGGAGTTTAATAAGGAGAATTGACTCATGATCACAAGGTAAAGTTCCACAACAGGCCGTCTGCAAGCTAAGGAGCAAGGAAACCGGTGATGGATCAGCCCAAGTCCCAAAACCTCAGAAGTAGGGAAGCCAACAGTAGTGCAGGCTTCAGTCTGTGGCCAAAGGCCTGAGAGCCCCTGGCAAACCACTTGTATAGGTCCAAGAGTCCAAAAGCTGAAGAACTTGGAGTCTGATGTTCAAGGGCAGGAAGCAAGGGAGAAAGATGAAGGCTGGAAGACTAAGCATGTATAATCCTTGATCGTTTTTCTGCCCGCTTTATTCTAGTTGTGCTGGCAGCTGTTTAGATGGTGCCTACCTAGACTGAGGATGGGTCTGCCTCTCTCAGTCCACCTGACTCAAACGTTAATCTCCTTTGTCACTTTCACAGGCACATCCAGGAACGATACTTTTCATCCTTCAATCCAATCAAGTTGACACACAATTTTAACTATCACAGTAACATACTTTATTTTTAATATATTTAAAAATACGTGTTACCTTAAATGCACTGGTACTTAATGGGAGGAAAAAAAGCTTAAGTAGAAACAAGTAACAAGTTCATATGCTAGCAATATTATTCTCAACAGTCATTTAGTGTTGACCTTAACAATTAAAATCTAGTTACAAAACACTAATAAACTTATTTAGATTTATAATCTGAGAGTATATTATAAACATATATAATGGATCTTGTCAGCATTTCTTTCAATGACAAGTTGTAAAAGGCATTTTACATTTCTTCACATATATTGGCTAAAACATAGCAAATATGCATTTCTTGAATTTGTTCTATGATTAAAATTCATGCATTTTTTACAATACATAATAACCTTAACTAAAAGTGTAAACCAAGTCAATGCCAATAATATGTTTATGTCAACAAAGTTAAACTGGCATTGGTTTTGACTCCAGGGCTGGCAAATAGTTGGCCTTCAATAAATATCTGTTATATTTATCTTGCTTGAAAAAGTCACCTCTTGTCTCATAGTTTGCATAAGTTGCTAGAAGCAAAATCTGGGAATGTATAGATATTTGTGTATGTGTGTGTGTACATGTATGTATGTGTGTACACATATGCATGTGCATGCATGTATGTGTACCTGTACGTATGTGTGTATATGTATGTGTGTACATGCATGTATGT